TGCAAAATTATAATAATAACAGTACTTCATTACTTTTGCATCATTTTCATACCGTTACATTGTCTATTCTTGAAAAATTAAAATCACTGCATTTGTCTTGTTACTCTTAAATTAGACATACTACACTTTTTTTTTGTTGCTGGGTTAAGTGCAAACTTATGACATAGTTTTTACAATTTGTACATCATATGACTTTTAATCTGAATTTCTATTGAATATTTGAAGAAGAGAACCAAGATGTTTGAAGAATATAATAATCTTTATTTAATATATATGTGTATGACAACTAAGTTGAGATTTGAGAATAAAGAGTCATCAATGAATTTACTAGGAGCTTTCTAACAAATTGGGATAACGTATAATGATAAAATCTTTCGTACTCAGTTTTATGTACGACAGCTTCTCGATCAAGTTAATAGGACGAATTGGTACGATCTGACCCGATAATCGAATGAAGACAAAATCAGAACAGATGATGTTGACTGGTGAAGATTGATTGGGGACATCGATGTTTACTGCAAGATATTTCTGGATGATGAACTTTTCCACATAGATCAATGTCTCCATGTTTGAACAATTACTATTTTGTATTGCACGAATAAAACCCGTTTCTAAAGTACCTTGACCATTGTCAAAAGCAACACATCCATCATCAAGCATTTTTCCATCTGACACTGTAAATCTGACCTTGCCGACGAAGAGAACTTTATAAAATGGATGAGAAATTTTACAATGCAGCTGGTGTTGAATAGATAAATTTTCACATTCGTCCAATAGCCTACAGGCAGATAAGTAAGTGGATCCGAATGATGATTTTTCAATGGTTGCAAGACACTCTTGTTTCTTGAATGCATTTATTTCTGTATAGAATAATTTTAATTGTTGGTTGAAGTCATGTCGTTCAATATCAGCTGTCGCCATTCGAATAAGAGCAATATTGTTTCTGATTTCATGTGCATGCATTCGAGTTCCGTGAACTGATGAAGCAATGATGCCTAAAATGGAAGTATAGACGAAAGATTTTGAAAATGGACATATATTTATTACCCAAGATACTTTCGAATGAAAACGTGGAATAGTTCTGAAGTGGTCCGAAATTCGCATTGGTTTTTGATACGTGCATGAGACTATGGACGACTTGTGTGTGGTGGCGAACGGTATAGATCGAAGGAAATTGTTGTACGAATACATCCAATAAGTATTTTATTTCAGTTACTTGACGTTGTTTCAAGCATCGGCTTTCAGCAAGGTGCATGGCAATCGAGAGTAATTCCAAATCTATGAAAATAACTGCATTTATATCGATTAGTAAAAAAAACTTTAAAAAATCATTTCAAAAAATGTTTGGACAACATGTATCAAAATAATGCAATGAATTTGATGAAACAGAGTATTTTAATATAAATCATAGAATAATTTTAATTTGTTTCAGATTAGTAGTATTCATTTGATTAAACTAATATAGTCATCCCAGAAAAAAACAATTTTTCTTCATTCATATGATGTTTTTTCAAAATAAGTTTTTTCTCCTGGCTGTGAAAACTGTCGCTATTGTTGGTTTGCCTACATTTAGGCATCAGCAGTAAAATACTCACGTTTGTAATGTAATTCGTTTAATTCTTCTCGAAAAGCAAATATTCCAAATAACAATAGAGTGCGTAGTTCTGAATCGTTGTATTTTTTAAAAAAATATGAGGGGACGAGGTATTCTAGTTGTATTGGATGGATAATGAATTTTGTCCAATGAAGCTTGAATACTTTCCATTTTATTTTTACATGACCACTTTTGTTTCGCATATTTATCATCAAACAGAGGTACAAGAATGCGTCGCTGCAATTATAAAAAGGAAAATTAAACAATATAATATTATTAAACTCACAAATACGCCGTGGTAAACATTGTGTAAGGGGTCATTCGCAAATGACTGGCCAATATCAAAGTTACTCAAATCTCGCAAACGACAAAAACCTTTATGACCACACAACATTTCGAGGATTTCATCTTCAGTTGTTCTTTGTCGAACATCCTTTGAACAGGATTTATAGAAACTATATTTAATATTTTGAAAAATCTTACTGGTTTACAAACTGTTTCGATCATTTGATCGTACCATTCATTAGTACGTAAACTATAGGTGATTGTTGGTGCTGTTGGGAATACACGTATCGTAGTTTTACCAGTAGAAACTTTATCGCCTGAAAATATAAGAATTTGGCTTTATTCTAATATAATTGTTTCTCGAGAGGGAAGCTTTCATCCACCTTTTTACTTATAGGTTTCAGTCAAGTCGTAAAAAGAATATAATTTTGCTTCCCATAGAATGAAAAAGTTAAAAAGAATGATGACTTTCATGTGAAACGCATGAAAAAAACAACATTTCAGATCATGAAACGAATATAAAAATTGATGTATTTCATTTTCATTGATTAAAATGAAAATTTTCATTAATCTCATTGCATGATTTCTATTACAAATCAAAGGCATAAAATGAAATTCGTCAAGACTTAAAAAACATCAAATGAGATTGATGAAAATTTCCATTTTAATTGATGAAAATGAAATACATCAACTTTTATATCGATTCCATCATTTTAACCTAATTTTTTTGATTTTTTAATTCTCTGAGTTGATAAGATAGCTATTTTAATCAAACTAATGTCATGACTTCACGTTGTTTTAATCAAAGTCCTGATATGAATTTGATTAAAATATTTATTTCATCAACTAAAATTTCACTTTTTTAATTTTTCATCATTTCCGTCAGTGAATGTTTATAGTAATTTCATGCAAATATATCCGATTTGTCTGTTTTGTGTTCCTTGTTACATAACTGACCTTCAATAGTGCACGAACCACATCCAAAGCGTCCATGAGGCTCTCCAAGGTTTTGAAGAAGTGCTTGGGCTGGCTTATCGTTGCAGCTGAGTATTAAGAAAACTCTTCCCCAAACTGCTGCTTGATCTGGAGTGCTAAAACTAATTCCATTTTCAATTCTTTTTAAATTTTGAACAATAGGTTTAAGCATTGACTGCATTTGTGCCTTGGACGGCTTACAAAGGCTCGAAGAAATAGCCAAAATTAGCATGTTATTTAATTTTAATCGATCTTGACGAGCAATTTCATTGATTGCAGCAGTAAATATCCAAATAGATCGATTGCTTGATTGAAAAATTGATATTCCATCAATGTTTAATGTGAGTGTAATAAAAGAATCACGCTGAGTTCGAGCAAGTTTTCTATAAACTGCTCCATCACAAACGTCTGATAATTCTGTTGCTGGAGAAGTTCGTATATCATTATTATAAAATTTGATTTTTGTACGAGATAAAATTGATAAAAACTGGAATTCAATTGGAAAGTGGAGAAACTCCGTAGGATATTTAGTAAAAGAGCCGAATAGTTTACAATTTGCCTTACGACCTTGTGTTTTTCCTTGGCAGAGAGAAGCACATTCATTACACACCCGATATTCTACTAAATCAGTAACATTCTTTCATGGAACAAGAAAATTTTTCAATTGTTGAAAAGACATCGGTGAATTTTTTATGCCAAGTCGGATAAAGAGACTACATAAATCATCAACACAGGAGTCTGTTAAATGATGTCGAGCCTTAAGGAGCATAAGGATGACAGACAGTTCCCGCATAGTTGGCGGTTCGTGTCTATAATGAAAATGATAGTCATTGTTGAAGATATTTAAAACATGCAAAACGCTTATTTTAATAGTATTTTTGTCATATATTACCGAAAATATGAAGTGAATTTAGTGAATTCTTTATATAACTCAATATAATTAAATAATTTTGATTTTTCATCAAAATAATGGCATGATTTTGAGTTTTCATTAAAATTACTGCATGATTTTGATGACTTCGAAAAAATCAGAGTCGTTACATTACTTCCAATTACTTTTACATCATTTTCATTTCATAACTTTGATTATTCTGGAAAAATCAAAATGATTATATTACTCTCATTACCGTTGCATTATTCTTACCGATGATTTTGATGACTACGTAAAAATGAAAATCGTTACATTCCTTTTCCTCATTCTCATTTCATAACTTTAATTACCCTGGAAAAGGGAAAGTCATAACTTTCCTTTCATTACTTTTGCATCATTTTCATTTCATGAATTTGATAATTTATCAAAAAAATTGATGAATTTGAACCTTATATCCACATCTGCCGTTACACACACTTACAAATTTTGGTTTTGAAAAAACGAAATGTGTAAGGACAGACAGGATGCCGTGCCCTACTTTTTCCATTACTAATCGTAAATTTTAACTCTAAGTTTTTGCCATTTCACATGGCTTTAGAGTAAATTGAATTTCTTAAGAGTTCATCGCCTAGCCCCTCCAAGGGTAACCAGCCTGAGCTTTGTGAAAAGCTCAGATGCCACCTGCAGGTGGCGTAGGTGGAGAATTTTTGTCATTGTTATAAGGACATGGCTTTGATTAAATTTTAATTTTTTTCAGGAAAAGATTTTCATGGCGTAACATTAGTGTAACTTAATCATTTTCATGAAATGAAAATTTCGAAAAAATTACATGAATTTTAAAAACATGCATTAAAGTGTCCGTTTCAAGGTAAATCATGGCATGTTTTTCGCTTTCGGCATCATGTCTCTGTGGAAAATTTTTCGTTAAAATGATGTAAATTACATAATTTTTCGCCATTTTTTTTTCCAAGGGCACATACCTACACGCACACCCGCTCCCTACATAGAGATCGGTTTTCAAAAAACAAAACGTTCGACGATTCGATGTAAAATAGTTTTGTAGCTTTTTGAGAGCTCCTAAAGGCTACAATTTACCAATTTTTGATATTACAATCAAAGAAAAATTGTTTAAAACGACTTTACATATGTAGCAGGTTCTACAAAAAAAATAAACATTAATCAAGTTAATTGTAGATTAATTAGAAGAGGCTTCGTCAGGGTTCGAACGATTTCAGAAAATCTAAACTCGATTGACCATAAATCGATAATTCAATGAAAAATAATCCGCTTTCAATTCCCAATCTTTGTTTTCTATGACCGTTTGCTAGGCATTGTCTTGCTCACAAGGCCTAGTAAGACATCGAGTCATATTTACTATTCTGATAAGATGGGGAGACTCATCATCACTACATTTTGCTCGAGCTGAGTGTGCCAAGAGATACATCGATGTGATATGTTATCACCCGTATGTGATGTCATCCTTACGTTATGTCACTTTTATTTCATCTCATCCTCATATCAATACGTAATACTGCTCATCATGTTCAACACTGCTTCAATAGCTTTGTAATCGCTACTCTATGCCCTCTGTGGGTGCTCATTGTTTTTTCTCTCGTTCTCTCCTATGAAAGCGTGTGTTATATGTGAAGTAATTACTGTAACGATCGATTGAGTGTGTTATATTCATGATGTTCAATCTTCACTTATCATTTCTTCCCATCACATGTATTGTTCTTATCTTTCTATCTTTACATTATTGTTCTCCCTTTTCTTTCGCTCTCTTCTTTCTCTCGCCTGGTTGTGTATATAAACGCGTGCTTTATAGGTAAACGATGCGATTGATGATATGAAGAAGCTCAATAAAGCAAAATACCATCAATGCTAATATTTGTTCTATCTGAAAATCGTCACAATTGACGATTATGTGATATGAAGGAATAGAATAAAGTGTAACTCCATCAGCACTAATACCCCTCTATCAATTTATCGTCACACGGAGGTTATACCTGAAATTAAAGCTGAAACTAGGTTGACAAATATGTCGAGTCTCTGTTTTCTAGATTGATGGGTTTTTTTCGATCCGATTGCGAGATAAAGAAAGATCAATTTGTTGATCTAATCTATTTCAGCTTTGATTTAAAATGTAAAACTATCCAATGATGACCGATAACAGTATCTTATGTGCCATTTTCAAGCGTCTGCAGTCATCTCTATAATTTCGGATTAACGCGTGGCTTTATAACTTGACTAATGGATGTTGATTACTTCAAATTGATTTGGTCGAAAGAACTTTAAACCAAATGAATCAATGATGCCTCTGACAAATGATACCATTCGGCTAGATGTCGTTGTCGTCTGTTTATAGTTTTGTAATAAATGAGACATACAGAAAGACGACTTTTTTATCGCTTGTTCCGTATCTTTGTTGAGTTCCATCGATTTAAAAATTCTTCCAATGTAATTTGTTTGCTGTTCACCAATCCATCAATACATTGCTGCTATGAATCATTAAATAGGCAATAACATTACTCTTTTCTCGTGTTTCAAATCAAACAAACATTAAACATGATTCAGTCAAGGACATGACAAAGGTGTGAATAAAAAAGCATATAGAATGAAAGAACAAGAAGAAAATGATGATGCAGGTTTCGCCTCAGTGACATAGTATAAAATACAATATTTTATTGAGGTAACTGCAAGAAGAAGTCGTTCCTACTTCTAAAAATGTGTAGTGACTTTCGTGAAGCACTTTTGAATTATGTTCTTAAGAATAGTCGTCCGGGTGATATCAGCAGTGTCATCAATATCATTGACCAGTATGGTTGGACTAAACAAGCACTCATGAATATTGGCGATAGAAAAGGCAAAATTCTTGATGCAGCTCTACAATCTCGACAACCAAAAACGGTCCTTGAACTCGGTAGATACTCATCGAAACAGATCCTCACAACTTCTTTTTTGTTTTTATTAAAGGTACTTTTCTTGGCTATAGTTCATTGCGCATGGCTTCTCAACTACCTGAAGATACATTGATTGTCACTATCGAAGTAAATCCTGAATCGGCAGCTACTGCTCGACGTATTCATGAACATGCTGGTGTTGCAAATCGCATAAAAATTGTCCTCGATCAAACTGACCAAGCAATTCCCAGTTTGAGTAAACAATTCAATGTTGATTCATTTGATTTTATCTTTATTGATCATGATAAAGGGGCCTATTTAAGGGATTTCAAACAACTTGAAAATGTCGGTTTGATCAAACGTGGTACAATGATTGTTGCTGATAATATTATCTATCCCGGTGCACCTGACTATGTAGCCTATGTTCGAAATAATCCACATTATACATCAACATTTCATGAATCGACTCTCGAATATGAGAAGAATATTCGTGATGGTGTAGAAATTTCGATTCGACAATAAAACATTGCGAATAAATGATTGCGAAGAAGTTTCAATAATTTTTGTTATTTGATGCAATAAAAGAATCTTAACCATGAAAACATAATGTCTGTTTCACTGCCAGAGACCTAGAGTTGCAAAAACAAATTGTGTTCCATTTGAATTTGATGATACATCAGAAAGTCGAGCAAGACTTAAAGATGCTAGATCATAGTAAAACTCTCCTATAAAAAGTACAAGGGTGTGGGTGCGAGTGCGGGTGAAGATGTGGAGTGGGTGTGGATGTTGGTTAGAGTCCTGCGACAGACTTTTATGTGTCGCAAATTCCGTTTGTCCCGTCGAGTGAAAAAAGAAATATAAAGATGCCGCTATATGGACGAAGATAAAATCCTCGCATATATATCACAGATAGGAAAAAATATATGCATACATATGATTAGTGAACAAATAAACTAGCATATCATAAAATAATTTTGAGAATAAAGAAATAATAAGCTCACAAATCATTGTGAACGTTGTTTTTCTTACAAATAGAATTCTTCCTTTCTTTTTAGTATTACAACTAAAATGCCATCAAATGTTCATAAAGAATTTTCAAAACATGAATTACAAGAAGTTGATCGAAACGAATGATCCATCAATTACATTTGTAAAACGAGCTAATACACGATCTGATTTGTGATCAAGTTTTTCTCATTTTGATTATTTAAATGTTGCACAAAATTACATATTGTGTAATCATTGTTGTACTGTATTAAAATGGTCAAGCGCAACAGGCACAATAGTGATGAAAAACCACAACTGTGCCAAGAAATCGAATTCAGAACCATCAACAACACCTTCACGCCAACGTAGTTTCATCTTGCATGCCACCTGCACAAGAAAATTAGGGCATGGATATGGGTGGATGGATGTGTGTGTGAGCATAGAGAATAGAAAAGTCATACCCATACCTACACT